TGCGCGACGCTGCACGACGCCGAGCGCTTCGCCCAGGCCATCGACAAGTGGAGCACCTTCCTCAATGACGTCGGCAAGAACCGCGAGGACCTCTGGACGATTGTGGGGCGGACGGCGGTGGAGCCGTTGAAGCGACAGGCCATCGCCTTTGCCGAGATGCGCAGCGCCATCAAGCGCATGGAGACGCTGACCGCGGAGAAGAGCCGCCACCAGGCGAAGGTGGCCAAGTACCAGGGTGCCGACCGGACCTCGACTAATCTGATTAAACTGAACGACCACCAGAGCCGGCTGGCGCAGACCACCAGCGACCTGAACACGCTGCGCGAGGTGCTCGAGCGGGAGTTGCCGCTCTTTCTCCAGCGCCGCATCGACTACATGCAGCCGTCCCTGGCGGCCTACATTAGGTACACTGAAAGGAGTTCGAAAAAAGGAGTTTAAGACTAAACTCGAAATTTTTCCCCTCTCTCCAAACAGCTCCGAAATCCTCTACTCCGGCAGCAATTTGAACGCCTGCGCCGAGCTGAACGCCCTCTCCGATCNAGCAGAACGGGCCGAGCGGCAGCGGCAACTCCTCGACTCCATTGACGGCCTCTCCATTGTCGCCTCATAAGTTGGTGGAAAAGGTGTGTAAATACTGTACATAAATAAATGAAATGTCGCCTCTTTTTAGACTTTTGACTTTTATCAACTTTAATCATCGTCATCATCATCATCATCATTATCGTCCACCACTCAAGCAAGGCAATGCATTGTTTTTTACAGAGAGAAAAAGGGAATCAAGAGACGGCTGAAAGATGGAAAAGAAGGCAAATTGATTATAATACTTGGGAGAAGATTGGCAAAGTGGAAGCTGAAGTGATTGGAATTGATCGCGCGATAGAAACGAGTCCTTAGACGACGAGGGCGACGATGACGACTGTTGTACGTGGACTGAGTTGTACGCTGGGGAAGAGAAAAGCAGTTGAAGAAAAAGAAGGATATCACAAGGATGATGATAAAGATTCGGGAAAAAAAGAGATGATGGGAGTGGTGTTTGTACAGTTGAGTGAGAGATTGTGACTGGGTGTGAGTGAGAAGTGGTGGTGGGGGTGGTTGTGACAGACTTGTTCGCAGTTTTTCCAGGAAAGGAAAAAAAAGAGTTGGGGACTAGTGTCAGTGGAAAAATGGAAAGAGAGAAAGGGAGAGGGAGTATTTTTACAAGCTCAAGTGTAAAAGTACTCCAAAGCAGACGAGAGTTCATAGAACTGCTGGAAAAAACTCGGTTTGCCCCCTCTTAAACTCCCGTAGAGGAGTTGTTGTGGAGCTTGTTCGCCCGTCGATTGGCCGCCGCCTGGTGTTTGGTGCACAGCGGACCGCCCAGGCCGTCGCGGTTATCTTCAGAGCGGCCGTTCTGCTCCAGCGAGACGTTGCCCAGCGTCACCAGAG